GAGACAGGGAAGGGAGAGAGACAGGAGAGGAAAGGGAGACAGGGAGAGGGAAAGGAAGGAAGGGAGACAGGGAGAGGGAGAGGGAAAGGGAGACGGGGAGAGGGAAAAGGGAGGAGACAGGGAGAGGGCAAGGGAGACAGGGAGAAGGAAGGGAAGGAATACAGGGAGAGGAAGGAAGGAAGACAGGGAGAGGAAGGGAAGGAAAAGGGAGAGGGAAAGGAGAAAAGGGAAGGAAACAGGGAGAAGAAGGGAAGGAAATAGGAAGAGGGAGAGGGAAATGGAGGGAGGGAGACAGGAAGTAGGAAAGGAAGAGGGGGGGAGGAAAGGAGACAGGGAGAGGGTGATGGAAAGGGCGGGAGAAAGGGAAAAGTAAGGAGGGAGATAGGTAGACAGGGAAAGGGAAATTGGAGGAAGGAGACAGAGAAAAGTAGGGTTAAGGAAGAGACGGAGAGGGAGAGTGAGAAGGTCGGAGGAAGACAGAGAGAGAGAAATCATTATGGAAAACGAAAACGAACGCCCAACCTCCTCAGGTCATCCTTGGTGGGGACGCAAGAAGTTCACACCGAAGGGCGTGGACGATCCCGAGGGAGGCGACGGAGGTAAGCGTGACGACGGCAAGAACCTCATTCAAACGTGGATCGACCAAAAGCAGGTTCTTGGCAATGCCTCGTACGTTTGGCACCGCGAAGACCTTCTGGCTTTGGACACCGCAAACACCGATTACCTCATGGGTAAGTCCTCGCAAATTATATGTTCTATGCAAATAACTGTTAGAAGACATATCCCGTAAATCAGGCCCATGAAATACAATATGAAAAACCCTTTGCAAAGATTCTCCGCTCCTGAAATTCCAAAAACAACCTGAATTATTTGTCCTAAAACTCCCCTAATGCCCTTCTAGGCCTCTTCGACTGGAGCCACATGTCGTTCGCCATTGACGAGGACACGAGTAATCCTTCCCTTGAAGAGATGACTCGCGCTGCCATCGAGGTCCTGCAGCGAGACGACAACGGATTCTTCCTTTTCGTCGAAGGTAGGCCTATCAAACGGTTTTGCTGCCCCAATGCATTAACTTTCTTTTTAAGATACTTATGGCGTGGATACGTAATGCCAACATCGTGTTCGCATATCTGAGAGCAATTTATTTTAACTAAATCTGTATGAATATATGACCTGTCAAATTTCGATTAGTGTACCCTTAAAGATACTTATGATAAAGAACGATCTTCATAGAAAACCGAGTATTTACATGGGTAACTTCACTATAAATACACATTCTATATATCATCAACGATTTCTTATCTTTTAGGAGGAAACATCGATAAGGCTCATCACTTGAACGAGCACCGTTCTGCTCTGCAAGAAGCACTGGAATTTGAGAAGGCCATTGCTTTGGCTGACTCGATGACTGACCCCGAAGAAACTCTTATCATCGTCACCGCTGACCATTCGCAACCCCTCGTCATCAACGGCTATCCTGAGAGGGGGACAGACGTGCGCGGTAAGAGCGGCGAGGGAAGGAGAAGAGAGAGAGAGATAGGACTTGGGAGAGGGAGAGGGAGAAATAGGGAGGGAGATGGAGAGTGAGAGGGAGACTGAAAAGAATAGATGGGAGAGGGCGGTAGAAAGATATAGAAATGTTGGACAAAGAGATGGGTAGATGTATGGACAGAAATGCTGAAGAGATATAGACAGACAGATAAAATAGAGAGAGTGAGAGAGAGAGAGAGAGAGAGAGAGAGAGAGAGAGAGAGAGAGAGAGAGAATCAGACAGAGAGAGAGACAGACAGACAGACAGACAGACAGACAGACAGAGAATCAAAACAAACTGACATTACAGGAAGCAGAGACGACCAAAACAGAAGAAAAAACATTAACCACGAAAAAAACAACGCCCAAAACTGTCAGTCAAAAAACGTAACGAAGACGAAGCAAGAAATGCGAGATAAATGAGCCCAAGTGCATAATAACCTCGAAGGAATTTGAGTCACGGCGGCGGAGTAACAGGAGAACATAAACAGCTGGCCTTGACTCACAATTCACATGGACACGAGCAGATCGTCTTCATTGCAGGCGCCAGATTCCTTCTGCTGCAGCCACGGAATTAGAGATTTCCTAAATCAGGCTGGCCTTTCATCCATGCTTTCTTCTCCGTTTTATTGGCTAATTTATCGACTGGTTTATCCATGTCTTTATTGGAGTTCTGATTCATATTTTCTTCTGTTCTCGCTAATCATAGTGAATGGTGATCATTATTATTACTATTGGTATTTTCTTTATTATGATTATTATTATTGTTATCTTTATTTTTATTGACATTGCTATTAATGTCATCATTACTATTATCATCATTATTATCATAATAATGATAATTATTATGATAATAATTATTTTGTAGTTCTTGTTATTAATGTTGTTGTTATTATTTTTATTATCATCACCATCACATCATCATCATCATCATTATTATTATTATTATTATTATTATTATTATCACTTA